ACGTAGTTAACTTGGAAAAGCCCAGAGAAGTCAAGCCATCTACAGGCCGTTCCAATTTTTTTCCATTCTGCTACATTGTTCTTGACCAAAACTGTTCCTAACAAGACTATACGTGGTATCTATCAATTGATAATTCAAAACTCCTCATATTTATTGGAGCTCAATTTCAGCGTAGCATTTCCTTCCTCCTCGTTTACAACGTTGAACTTAATACGAAGTGAAGATGAAAAAAATGAAGCTGCTTACGACCGTTTAATCGTGCTCAGTGATCAGAACTCGAATCTACCGACCGGAAGGCCCATCGTTCGAACCCAACCTTTGCTTCTCGATCTCTCCTGTCTAGGCTTGAGCAACCTGGCAGTAGCCCAGCCATCGTGCTTCCTTCTGGTGGCATGACAGTTAGGTACCGAGCGATTTTTCCTATTTTTATATCTGTATCACAAAGCGAGCTGAAATCGTCTACTAAAGGGCGATTACTCGAAGCACATTCCGCATGAGGCGGTATACATAAGCTGGCAAATGAACAATGGGGCTTGGTCAAATGTACACGATCATCTTCGAGTGGTCCACAATAATTGGTAACTCATGTCTCTAAGTTTGCTTGATATGGTCAGATTAGGTTCGGCATCCCTTTCCCCTGGTTACAGACGAGATATAAGGTAGCAAAGATTTCCAACAGTGAAACGGTTTTTCCAACGGTTTCCTCTGGAAACTACTCCGTGTACCGCTCCCTGAAAGGTTACTTTCCGGCAGTTCCTGAATCACTTTCCACTATTTCGACCTCGATCCTTATCCATGACAAGTACTCCTTCTTTCAGGATCAGTGAAGTTGTGATTGAACGATATCTGTCAACTTCAAGAAGACTGATTCACTCGTGAAAGGGGTGAATGTGTAATTTTATTTTGCAAATCATCAGTGGTTCAGCTGCTTTGTTAGAAAAAATGTTAAGAACTGCGGGTGGTTTGAGTCTTACATGAACACGATGGCCTTCATATGGATAGGGTCTTTAAGACCCACAAGCAAGTGCGCTAAATAATTATTGTTGTGTGTGAAGGAGAAAGAAATTCGCGTTAGCTGATTACTTTTCAACGAAGATATCGTTTCGGCTAAATGAAAAATGATGAGTACTAACTAACAGCAAATTAGTGCTGTCATGTGAGTAAAGATCACTTAAGTAAGACAAAGAGTAGATCAGTATTGAACGGACAGACCAGTTGGATCGATACGCCAGGAGCATCTCACTGGTAGACTTCATATGAGGGTGGAACTAATGTCAACACCTACAAAAGGTACGATCAGTAGTCGTTCGATCGTGTGAGAGCATGAATCACACTTTAGTTTCTCAACATGCATTCATTGAAACCTGGTCAAAATAGCCACAGGTGATACGGTGCTGATACGGAAATGCGTCCTTACAAGCTGGCTTTAGATTTGCTACCATTCAGAGCACACCAATTTCGTGATCAGCATTCAACGTATCTTGTCTGTGGTACGTATACTGGTGGTGCTCTCGAATTTCAAACGAAATTTTTAAGCGAAGACCGTTTGAAAATTTTCTCATCTATTCAAGTCACCTATTCATAAAACCGGATTTTTGTCTGTTTATTAAATATGTGACACTTGTTGATTGTCGGTTGAGCATAGCATACTATGCTAGGGTACGTTTCCCTAACCGGTGAAGTTTTGATTAAAAAATGGTAGTTAACTTGACGCACGCACTTTTCTGGAAAGCTTGAGTTCGTTTGTAGTACATTTTCGTAAGTAAAAAGTACATCCGACCGTGGGGGTTCACGTTACGAAAGCCGTTTAGGTAAAGAGGTGATGTCTACCTGTTCAGTTACCTGCCTTCCCCTGCCGTGATAGCCCGTGAAATCGAGCAAGCCTCTCTTGTCCGTGGATTGCAGCGTAACAGGCATTGGTGATTAGGCGAGTTGACTACTTTCCTCAGGTGGCTTTATACCGGTCAGATGGCTGTCGCACGGGAGCGTGTCCAACCTTCTTTACTGATTCATTGCAGTTTTGCTCAGACAATTTAAAAGGAACGTTGCAATCTACTGAACTGCACCTCATGTAGATGATTATACAGGTCAGTAGCCAAAAGCAATAGTATATTGTGCTGTATTTGTCGTGTTTTTGAGAGATTCCTGAGTTTCTGAAGGCATCCTGTCAAAACATTTTACGACCGCTAAGATTATTATTCTCTTCTGGGTGTAGTATTATTCGGGGGTCGCCTGTTGGGGGACAAAATAACCAAGTCTCCGTCAATGAATCTCTAACTTAGCGAAACAATGTGAGAATCCAATGCCCGTGTGCCATTTGGGACAGCATTCGCAGTGATTCATTAGCTAAAACACACCCAGTAGCCGAAAATGTCTACAAGTTAAAATCTGGCTCAAGGACTCTGTCTCTTTTTACCTGTGTATACTTGGGCCCATATTCAAATTTTCCAAATCAATTTTGTGTGTGACCTTACCTTCGATGTGTGTAAAATTCGTGTTACCGTGACTCGGATGCGCATCTCCACGTGGTTGCTTACCGGTCTGCACCTATGCGTTTCGCTTTTTTTTGTCCTCTCAGAGATAACCCATTCCTGGAGCAGTGCCTTGTGCTAACGCACCGCCCATATAAAGAGATCTACTCTTGTTCATTCCTTTCCTTGCAACGAAGGTTTTCGCTGGCGACGGAAAGCAGGGTTATCAAACAAAACACCCCTATAGCGATCTATGCTGTACTCTTGGGTCTTCAAAGTTTGCTTTTTGTCATGGTGGTCTTGTCCCACCGGCGTTTTTCGTACAAAAAAACGGTGGCCTGCCCGAATACGTGTACAAGTTGTGACCTGGTGTCCTCGCTACCAAGTGGCTACCAATCTCAAATTCGCAAATCTCAGTTTCATCTTACGGGATGGCGGTTCATGTGGGCGAATCAGTGTTCATTCGTCATTCTTTTAGTTCTTGCGCGGCTCGATCTGAACTCAATGCTCAACTGTGGCAATTTGTTCGAACCTACCGCATCTAATCCTTCTGGGTTTCATTTTTCATCTACTGCTTCTCTCACTCTCTCAATGGCCGCAACGCTTTTTAACATATGCGGGTGACACTTGGACTTACTCCCCTTTCCAAATGATAACTAAAGTATATACTGTATGATCTATCCTTTTCACTATTTCCCCCTCTCGTTTAGCATTCTCAGGGCTCCTCGGATTCTTTCGCCAACCCTTATTATTCATGGTCTGGAGGACCGTGTAATCCATCCTCTCCATGCTGTCCGGTTACAGGAGAAGATCCCCAACGTTCTCGAACCACTGTTCATTCACGGTGCAGGACACAACGATTGCGAGTCGTTTGAGGAGTATCTCATTCGATTGGAGTACTTGATCTATGTGGAACTGCCTGAGGCCCTATCCAAGCTGGACGATGTCAACTCAGTATACGAGGCTACTCGTTGTTCATGTTCCCCTTGTTGTGGTGGCCGTGGCGGTAAAAATTGCCGTCAAATAGCTCCTTCGCCAGTCTCCAGTGGTTGTGAAACAGTGACGACCTCTGAACCTGAAACGGTCGATTCACGGCAAAACATCATTTCGAACGGGAACGGGCCAACCTTTTCCTGGCTCAGACACAAACGTGGAGTTCATGGATCTTATCGGTTTATCAGACGTGGTAGAAGAAAGTCCACGTTTAGGGATGGCCCGACGCCTGCGAATTCCCCAGGAAGCTCTGGTGAACAGAGTAGTGATACCCAACAAAGTGGCGATGCGTCAACAAGAACCTAGGCTATTCTTCGGACGGTTATTCTGAGTAGTCAGCAGTGTCGAATCTCGATTCTTCCTATTTCCTGCGCTCCTAAACGATCTCGGTGCTCAAGTTAACTTTGTTCTTAACAATACGATTTTAGGGATAATGTGTTACGTTTGAATGTACGTTCAAATGGTATTTACTGTCAAATGTGTTGTTTGTGTTTCCTAGTATGTAAACATTCATTGTAACGTAAATCACTAGGGTTTATTTTGCGTCTGCAAACAGACTATGGTCTTGACTCTTCTGTTCTGTTGAACGACTTGAATAGTGCGCTTTGGGGACACGTTTATGCACTGTTTCATCCACTCCGTTGATCGACACCTGAGAGTCCGCGGTATATAAATGTAACTAATAGAACGCTGAACATTCGAAAGTACAGTCCCCATACACATCTCGACCTTATAAAAGGGTCTCCCTCTGGAATTTCGCCCTCAAACTTACCATCCTTTGTGTTGCACGGTGTCCCCGTTTGACGTGTGGTAGTTTTTGTCAATTAGCAGGTTTTGGAGAGAAGCATGGATGGTAAATCATTGCCGGATGTACACATTCGGTGTAGCACAACAACAACAACAACTTTGCGAAGAATTTGATTAGAGGGACGGGATGTGTCCGCAGTAGGAACAACCACCAAAAAAACGTCAAACAGTGGCGCGGGCTGCTTTACTACGTGCACATCGTACAGGATCCTCAAATGTACCATTGTTCCACTATACCGTACAGTAAGAAGTTTAACTGCCGACCCATCGCTACGCTCCACCACACTCCCCAACAACGCACTGATGATGTCACTTCGATTGGCGATGAAGCGTTTGCCCAGCTTAGCTAACAAAACAACGACCATCTATACTACCTGAGCTACCAACATTCTCCTGTTTTCTATGCAACAGAATGTCGGCAGCTCAGGAAGCGTAGATGGCCATTGGCTTGTTCGCTGAGCTGGGCAATTTGGTTGCAAACGTTTCATCACCAATCGAGGTGACATCATCAGTGCGTAGTTGTGCGTAGCGGTGGGTTAGTGGTTGTGCGTTCAGTAGTGTTACGTGTGTGTTGATATACGTGCTGGTAGCCGGGGATGACCTTTGACCGCG